ATGGCAGCTAGCAAATTGAATAAGAATCACGTTGCGATCATTCACTGCGGACACATTAAAAAATTCCTGTGTCACGCCGACCCGAATTTGACAGTCTGCCATTGCGTGAAAGAAACTGCGTTTACATATATTGTTAGTTTCGAGAATTTTTCGTTCTTACCTTCTCTTTTGCAATATAGCTTTATTATGTTATATGTATATGTGTTAGCATGTGCATACATATGACACGTGTGTAATAGTATATGTACACATTTGGTAGATGTATATGTGCATACATACATGTATACAGGTATATAATACTATGTGTGCACATACAGTATGGTAGCACATGCATACGTGTAATAGATGTACGTATGTTATCAGATGCATATGTGTACATATGCTGTACGTATACATACATATGCATATGTATATGTATACGTATGTGGTAGTATGTGTATACATATGTATGTGGTAGTATGCGCATACATATGTATGTGGCAGTATGTGTACACATATGTATATGTTAATATGTATAGACACATGTATATGTACATACGTATGTATACATATATCACCATATGTGAGATCTTATGAGTTTGAGGCAATGGAAAATAATACAGTACACCACAAAATCCCAATAAAACATAAGAAATTTCAATCATAAATTAAAATGAGATTCATATCTTCATAATTATCAGTCTCTAATATTCCACATATATTAATAACCTAACCTAACCATTACAAAACCTGCATAAAATACAAATCGAACAATTACGGTTCTTCCCCTGTTGCCAACGAGACTAATAACGAAACCAACATACCAGTATCAACAGGAAATTAAAACTGTTGATTTATAATAGGAAATTAAAACCGGTGATTTATAATAGTCGACGCAATAAATCAAGAACGATATGTCACAAACGTGTCTATCCGGAGGTAAACACAAGACACAGGTTCGAATGTTGAAAATATGTATTCTGTATCGGGGATTACTCTTGTCAACGTAGTATACGATTCTGCTATCTTTTTGATTCTGTTAAATGCGTCGTTGCTCGTTCAGAAATGCACAATGAGATACAGATGGCGACGAAAAAGAAAACAGACGAAGAAGAGCGACGACTCAGTGCAATACGGAAAAATATTATTTAACGCAGTTTATGCTTCTTTGTTAGTTTTAAGGAATTTTGGTGCTACTTTTTGCGCCATTAATTTATTGTTATTCAGTCTCTCGACTTTTAGTCTTAATTTAGAAATTGGTATGTAATTTTATATGGCATATAATTTTGATAGGTACATAATTTTAATTAATACATAATTTTGACTAGTACATAATACTGATTGGTAGATTGTACTGATTGATACATAATACTGATTGGTAGATAATACTGATTGGTACATAGTACTGATTGGTAGACAGTACTGATTGGTACATAAATTTGTATGATACATAATTCTCATATGTTCACAATTTTATATGGTTCATAATTCTAAATGGCACATGATTCTACATACATAGTAAATTATTTTTGTATGGTACATAATTCTAATTAGCTCATAATTCTCAATTGCACATAATTCTATATGGTAAATAATTTTGTATAGTTCACACATATGATACATAAATCTTGCTACACATATTATATATAAATCTTGCTACACATATGATACATAATTCTTGCTATACATAATTATGTACCACACAAATCTGTACAACAAAAATCTCCAAAAAATGAAAGCATAATAAAAATTCGCGAATGAAAGCAAAATCATTTTACATAAATTTCGTTCAAAAGAGAATATGAACACGTGAATGTTGGCATGTTCTCAAATCTTGGTCAACGCGCTCCAAAACGTGATTCACAGAAACAAAAGCGATTGTACGACACGACAGAATGAATCGAAGATGAGTATCGAGGAACGTGTTCTTACGAAAAATTTCGTCACCCGATATGCCCTATATTGGAGCGAGCTTTCCGACGTAGAACACCACGCGCGATGTGTAATCACGTACTATTTTTTCGTGTACCATAAATAAACGTTGCAAGAGCAACATAGGTAGCGTGCATCGACTACTAAATCACAACTAATAACTTTATTTACTTGCAACACCGGACGCAATTAAAGAAATAAGAACTGCAATATGCGAAAGAAGCAAAAAGCTCCACGTGGATGAGTTGCCGGTACACGATCTTTATTTTTATTTTTGACAAATTTTTAACATTTTAACGAATAGATCAAAGTTTTAACGATGAGACAAAAGTTTTGATAAGTATTTTAGAATTTTTTCACAGCTTTCAGTACAAAATTACAATGACCCAGTTACATCAGTAAAGCAGTTATTACACAACGATAATAACATTTCCACAAAATGACTAATAATACAATACGTACACTTTTGAGTATACCCAGCTACTTTTTGTTAGAAGAAAAAATTAGCATCGAAAACGTAATTGAAAAGAATTAGCTGATGCATTACGTTGTTAACGAAGTTCTTTGGTATGAGAACCGTTAAAGGAAACTGATACGAATCGATCGAACCATATTTCCGGAAGATGTTGCATAAACACGATAAACAGTTACGACGTAACGCAAAATTCGAATTGGTAATTGTACAGGATAGAGTAAGCCGATTTTAATGACATTGTAATTGATATTACAAAGGTAAATGTCCTCGGCAATTCGTCTGTATACAACCGTTTGGTTTTAAAGACACATGTAAATTTTGTTTTTCTTGGTAACATTATTTTGGGTCATGCAGTAATTATATTTTTAGTGTCACTGAAATTTTTATACTTTTAGCGACAATGGTTGTTAAGTTAATTTTGAATTTTATTTTTTTATTTTTTGAGGACTTGGGAGTTTTTTAATTTAGAAATTTAGGGATTTGGGGATTTGGGAATTTGGGGAATTGAGTGTTTGGGGAATTGAGAGTTTGGGAAATTGAGGATTTGGAAATTTGAGAATTTGGGGAATTGAAAATTTGGGGAATTAAGAATTTGGAGAATTGAGAGTTTGGAAAATTGAGAGTTAGGGGAATTGAGAGTTTTGGAAATTGAGAGTTTGGGAAATTGAGAGATTGGGAAATTGAGAGTTTGGGGAATTGAGAGTTTTGGAAATTGAGAGTGTGGAAAATTGAGAGTTTGGAAAATTGAGAGTTTGGGAAATTGAGAGATTGGGAAATTGAGAGTTTGGGGAATTGAGAGTTTTGGAAATTGAGAGTTTGGGAAATAGAGAGATTGGGAAATTGAGAGTTTGGAAAATTGAGAGTTTTGGAATTTGAGAGTTTGGGAAATTGAGAGATTGGGAAATTGAGAGTTTGGGGAATTGAGAGTTTGGGAAATAGAGAGATTGGGAAATTGAGAGTTTGGGAAATAGAGAGATTGGGAAATTGAAGATTTGGGAAATTGAGAATTTGGGAAGTCAGAAATTTAGAAATTTAGAAATTTAGAAATTAAAAAATTAAGAAATTTAGGAACTTGAAATTCTTCCACCACAAGTGATACATTTCGCACCCCCTCAACAATCCCTTCAACAACCCCATCACTGGCAATATAACAATTCACATCAGATTACATAAATAACTCATAACAATATTACAGCATGCAGACACAACTTGTAAACGTTATTAAAAATATTTTCACGAATACTTTGAAGAAACCCTGAGCAACGATAATAAAAGCAAAACTACCGCCTATCACGAAACTAACCTTCATAACGAATATCAAGGTCAGTGAAATCGGCGATATTTACCGTGTTCCATATAATTATGACCGACTGTAATTAGGAAGAGAAGTAGCCAGCGTACGAACGAACAAATCTACGACCCCGTGAACATTTCCCTCTTTGCCTTACGTCAATACGTTCTCCGTCGATATTTCTATCGACTTGTTTACGCAACGGAATAAATTACTGTTCGATCAAATATTCATTCGGAGGAGTACCGTCAACTTCGTTGATCCTGCAAATCTCTTGTTGACGCGGCAATACCATGCTCGTGAATCTTCCGCGTGATTCGAGTTCAATAACTACAAAATGTACGGCGCTAAATCTAACATTGTACTAGCGACAAAAGAACATCAAGTATATTTTTCGTGTCACGTAATTATATTATCTGCTCAGGTAAGAGCACTCAGTGTTTACTGTCCGTTTGAATCTGACATTAAACGTGGCTAGAATAACAGTGTTTTGTTCGATAATGTCCATCGATAAAGGACCTAATGTTGTTAAACGACGATAATGCAGAGGAAAATAATAATAAGATATTAAGATAAATAGATAATAAAAAATGTTATGTTTAAAATAGAAAAAGTGAACCATCATACTCAGGTTTCATAGTTTAACTTCAAAATATTCTGTATAATTAGTCATTGCTACTTGCAACAGTTTTTGCCTGAACGTATAATATAAATCGACCTTTAAACTAAACACGTTGACCAGTTATACATAAACATTCGTACCATTTTATCTACAAGAAACGTGTGAACAAAATCTAACTTGACTGCCACAGTGAAAATTGACGTATATGGTCAGACACTACAACACAGACAACGTCATCTTTCAATTTCGGGCATTTGATGAGAACATTTCAAACTTTCAAATTTAAATAATAGTTCTGCTTATTGAAAATTAATTTTATAATTCAAAGATTAAGTTGGTAAGCCACTTAGAAATTATATAATATGGTTTAACATAATATTGAGACATTTAGAATATGGACTATTTGAGAGTACGTTTAGAATTAAATCTGGAAGTACAGAAACTTCGCACTTTCAAATTGGAAAATTGACTGTCCATCAATGATATTAAGAGCACGTCCGGTGCACCGATGCCCTTGCAAGCGCAATTGGTGCATATCATTAAATCAGTGCTAAGAGCACTTTCTTTTACGCAACTGAATTTGTGACCGGTAAGCAACATGGCAACTCGATAATGCGGTCGTTTGTAAACAAGTAAAACAAGGGCAAGCACAGCGATAAAACAAAATAGAAGACAAAGGGAGAGCCGTCTAACGTACTAACCTGGCCTTGCGTTCCAGCTTTCCGGTCAACTCATTCCTCTTCAACACGAACGGCAACCTGTTGCTCACGACGATCATGCTCCCGTTGGAGGTGAAGCTACCCGGTTCTGTAGACATTTTGACGTTTTCAGATCAGCTGTTCCGTGCAAAAAACCAGAGCCACACCGCGAACGTTAACGTCGCGCGACTCAACACGAGCGGTGTCTCTCCTCTTTCTCTCGCGTCTACGGCGAACACGGCCACCGGCTCGGCAGCGCCTGCTATCATCAACTAGTCGTATACGTAATCACGTGCGATCACGTGCACGCGAAACCGAAGTCGAAGGAAAACCTCGATCGGATCCGTTGGCTAGTAGTCTCTCTATCGTCGAGCGCCACGCGAATACGCTTCTCTCGTGATTCCTTTTTCGCACGCGAGCTCTCTCTGGTTCCGTGTCTCGTTTAGCCTCCTTGTTTTGGCCCGAGAACGCGTCCTTCGTTATACGGTGAACCCTGATTACCCGTCCGTTACGGGCCGTTTATCTGGTCGAGAGGACGGATCGAACACGAAGGTAGGGGGAGCTAAGAGATCAAAATAGGGCTCGAAGAGAGAGTGAAAGAGGTCCCGTTGGTGGAATGGAAGAGAGTTGTTTGAGTGAGTGTGCCGCGGTGCGTGGCCGAAGTAGCACTGAAGTAATCACGCCGAGTACCCCTGGGTTTATTCGAGTTAGACGTCGCGAGGAATTGGTCCAAAGTGCGCTCTCTCCGCGACGGTATCAATGACGGGCCGCGACCTTTTGGCCACCCAGAGGCTGCCCCTCGTGTGCACACCACCACCGACACACAACGTCCTCGTCATCGCCACCACCATCATCCATCACCGTCCGTCATCGCATACGTAAACATACGTGCCATCTCCTCCTCCTCGTCTCCTTTCTCTGCGTCTCGCTTCATCTAACCACTTCTCTTTCTCTCTTGCTCTGTCTCACGCAGCACGCAGCGTGTCGTCGCGTGTCGTGACAGACGATCAGGGTTATCTCTCGTTATCTTTTAATTCCCGGATAACACCGTTAATGGGACAGCACGTACGCTGTCGTCGGCAGCGCGTCGTGCACAGCTGTGCGTGTTCTACCGGTGCATCGTTGTCAACATAGAGGAACGGGTGAGATAGCTGATCAGAAGGGTTACAGAGGTGTTACATTATTAATGTATTTCTTCGTTATTGAGATTTAAAGGAACGATGCAAATACTGACTGTCATTCCGGTTTTAATTATCGATAGATTAGGCTATCTTACTGACATTATGTGTGGACAAGATATCCTTTAGGATAATAGGAGTCACTGACGCGGAACGCGTAATTTCATCATTTTAATTTATTTATTCTTGTTTATACTTCGAATCTAATCTAATCTGGCTTAAACTAACCTTGCTTGTAATGTCTTACACTTATTCTCTTCCTTGCTTCTAATCTAAATACACTAATCTGAACTACCCTAAGTTTTGATCTAATCGAACTTCAAGGCTGATAGAAACCACCTAGTATAACATTAACCTAACCTAACTGCTTAGGTTACTTAGGTTGCTTAACCTGATCTTACCCAACCTTTACTTAATACTGATGTAGCCTACTTATATTAATGTAACTAATGTAGTTGCTAATGTAACTCTAATATAATAGTGATCTAAATTAAGAACAAACATTTTGTCTCAGATTAGGTTAGATTTGAAGTTTAAATGAAAACACATCCCTTTTTACCCCTTTTTTCAGATACCTGAATTTTTAATGTTTAGAATAAAATAAGAAATTATTCCAATGAAACTGATCAACTATCCCACCTTCTCCCAACGCAACGGATAGCTGCGATAAATACCAGACTAAGTTATCGATTCTGTTAGCATGTAATTAAAATTCCTGCAATTGCGAAACGGTACAATTGCGTACAATTCGATGACGACGAGCTGTCTAGCCATGGAGTCCAATGAATTTTCTCCTCTTTTCGTTTTCGTCAATGTGACCGACAGAGATATCTTTTCCATTATCAAACGGTGAACGCAAAACAACTCTATAAAAACTGATAACTTGTCATTTTTGGAAAACGTAACAGGATTGACCTGTCTACTGACGTACTGCATCTATCTGTTAGGTTTCTTCCCGAATTGACAGAAATCGTAAGAGGAAAGACACCACTCGTTATTTATTCCAATATTTTAACAAATTTTAATCAGAAGATTAATTTGCATACTTGAATCAAATAAACAAAAATTGTAAAATTTAAATCCGTAGAATGTGATTATATTTGCATCAGTGAATTTATTTTCAAAATTGAAAATATACGCAGGAATAAAAAATAGAACTAGTATCGATTCGAACATGGAAACCTTAAACTACAGGTATCTCCTCCATTACACGGCAGGGACACATGAACGATGTAACTATGATCTGAACACCCTTCTCTGTTTACGCATGCAGTTTCTATTCTTTTCCTTTCTTCGGGCACACAAATTGGAAAATTCTTATCGAGAATACACTGACAATGAGTAATAACGTAAACGATCCATACACGTTGCAAAATATTTACTTTTACCGATTTCACTTTCTTTATGTTTCACCACGATAATCTAAATTTGGATGACCTTCGTGAAAAATGTAATCATGCAATTATTGTCGTTCAATTTATACAAATCGAACTTCGAAATGCTTATCCGGTACCACTGTTTAAATCTTTTGTTACAAATTGCGCATTATTCACGTTTTTGCGTTGTAGTGTTGGTACTGTGCCCCAGAAATTTTTTTATCCTTGACCAATTAAACGTATCGGTAAAAAATATTCAAATTTCTAAACGAAAAGATAATATCTAAAATAGTATACAATTTTAAAAATAAAGATAGTAAATTCAAAATGACATGTGTATCGTTACGAAAATTTTGTTTTCATACGACACTATCGACACTTTAATGATAAAGTTACCGGCACCATCGAGTACGAATCTCTAAATTAAAAAACATATTTTGTTGGTAAATACAAGTCAAAACAATCTGTGACCGACTGTTCGAAGAATCCCGAAGATTCTTGTGCTGAAATATTGCCTCTGACGTATCCGGAGTGAGAAGGATAAAAAACGTTATCGTCACGTTATCGTCACGTGTTAATGTTAGCTAATAACGAGCTAGAGGATAACGAAGAAAATTGGCACGCGTCGCGCACGCGGCTCGTGTCTTACACACCATGAACAAAAATTTTTACCGGCTTTTAAAGCAGCGCAGACAAGTGTCAAAGATGAGAACAATACGTTGCTCGAGTTGTATGGAACGTATGCATGTACGTCTTTTATCTGTGAGGAACTGGTAAAAATCAACGTCACGCAGCCGGAAATGAGAAACTGCATCATCGCCTAAAATCTATTTCAATACCGAGATAATTTTTCGCATACCGAGACCCTGTTACGCAATATTTTACACGTTCCGTTCTGTAATTATTTTAATTTTTTGTCAACGTGTTCTAACTATCGTTTAAAAAGATTGTTAAAATACTAATACTAACCAATACATCTGCTATTAGTTGTGTTGTAATTTTGGACGTAATAATGACACGTGGAGATGACGTAAAATAAATGACATTAACATGTCTAATTTAAGGAGAAATTGGTACAAGATAAAAATACGTACATATGTACATGTAAAAGTTAGGTGCTCTTGATGATGATTAATTCATATAACTTTTAATCTACTGCAAGTTAGAACTATTATAAGTTTTGGCTTTTGTCGTAGCACTTCGTGAAAATTCGACACACTTCGGTGTAATTCGGTCAACATGACATGTGCGTCAAAAATAAGCGCGAAACCGGTAAATACGTACTTTTTTCTTACGAAATTTGGAGTAGGTCAAGCTAATAAAACTTCAAATTTCTACTGATCAGTTTTCATCAAATATGCAGCTTTACAAAGAATATTTACCATTTTAGAAATTCTTTATAACTTTGGACAGTACTTGACATGTTGTTGAACACTTGATATCGTTATCGATCGCAATTGAAGTTTTCATGTTTTGACGAATATGACAAGTTTTTAATTGATAGACAATATAAAATTCAATATAGAAACGTGTCATCTCCAAAATAATCTATAAAAATCTTTAATATTAAAGATGTATTTAATAATGATGTACTACACACATAAATTTTTTACATCACCTTTACAATACAAGCAAAGGTGTTGTACTTTTGTACATGAATGTACTTACTTGATTAGCATGATAATCTTTTTGTAACGATATACACATGTCTTAAACAAAAGCTTTCTTTTCACAAAGAAGAACACGCGAATATCCAAATGACAGAAAGAGAAATAAAAATAGAAACTGCACATGTTTAATTGAATTCATTTATTGTATTTACGACAATGCGAATGAAAAAGACGCTTTTTCAGAGTTAAATAAGTTTTTCCATAAAAAGGAGACACCATAGAATTATTGTAAGATAAGAATCATTTAACCAACAAATGGCTGACATCTCGCATACGTCCAATGTTTCTACGCGAGAAAAGCCGGTGTAATGACAAGGATTTGCGTGCACGCAATAATTAAAAAAAGAAACAATAGAGCGTATAGAATGACAGAATCAAGAAACGTGAAATATATCTAATTCAAATTGTTTGGTAGGTTGATGAGTTTGGTAAACCTTCATCCGGCATAAGGTGACATGGACACCCACCTGAAAGGACGAGCTTCTCTGTTTACTTTACGCGAACGCCGTTATTTAAACACACCGACGTAATAATTATTAGCAATAAGCTGAGAAAAAGCTTGATGCTAATTCGCGCACTCACATGTATACCGGCTAATCCTCCGGCACTTGCTAGTGTTTTTACCAGAGACGTTCTTTCGAGAAGGTACCACTGGTAACTGGTTCCTTCTTCGCGAAGTTTCGGCCAGCTAAAATTGCAGGGCGCGAATCGATTGTTACGGTCTACGATACTAACCGACAACTAAATAGGAAACTGTAGGAAATTCCCTAGATAACACCGTCACTTTTTGCACCTCTAGATAAATTCAATTAGACAATTAGTACCTGGATAAATTGAACGCTATTTTGACCGTATATGCTATCAATATTTTACCACTGTCAATTATCACTGTTGTTTACTTCCACGAATAAAATTACTAATAAATTTTCTTGAAATGTGTATTACCATTTTTCTTACCCTCCTTGCCAATTCAAAAATTTCCAGCAAAAACCAAACGATTAATCAGAAATTCCTGTTATTTTTAATTATGACAACATGAAATGACAAATAATTATTTCAATTTTATTTTGAATTAATTATTTTGTAAATATCAACATGTAAAGTAAACATTATGTAAGTTCATATGACATCACTTCTAAGTTTGAAAATCAAAAACTTAACGTTAAGTTTGATTAAATTTAATAATTTTTATATTTTTTTGAATTACTAATCTAAAAATGAAATATTTGTTCTATAAAAATGATAAATTTAAACTATATAGGAATGTCAGTGAGGTAAACTTAAACCTTCCACTGACATTCGGCTTTTCGTCTATGACGGCACATGCATAACCTTTTTGAAACTTGAACTGCTTCAAACAAGAAAACAAATCAGAATTCATTAGAGAAATTGTATCAGAAAATACGAACGCGAATGATAATGTCAAATCGTTTTTGAAAAACTATATAATCGCTTTAAATTTATACGTAGTGTCTTTTACACTTATTGTTTATTAAGTTTTCTGGTAAAATGAATGTTATATGCTCTATATGCAGTGACCCATTGATGCAATCAAATGATATTTTTTATACTCGATGTGGACACGTGTTTCATTTACAATGTTTGAGTCCCTGGCTTGAAAGGTAAATACCTGTTTATTAATAGCGCAACAAAGTATTGTACCTGATGACATAACTTATTCATTCATTGGTTACTTAATCTATAGCAGTATTAATAACATTTTGTTTTTAGATCAAAAAGTTGTCCACAATGTAGAGAAAAAGTTACACAAAGTAAAATACATAGACTGTATTTCACGTTTGGGAATAATGAAGTTGTCGAGTCTCAGGCTTCTACATTGCAGGAGAAAATAGATGGCTTAAAATTTCAAATTTTGTTGAAACAAAAAGATATCCAATATTATACCTCAAAAAATGTTACTTTAGAGAAACAAAGTGCTGGTTTAAGACAAGAAGTATATAAATTGGAGGGCGAAATCAGTCAAAAGAATGCAGCAATGCATGCTTTGAAAGAGCAAATCGAATACTTTAAAAAACGAAGTTCACGTTGTGATGATTTAAAAAAAGAAATTGCTCAATTGAAAGATAAGATTGAAGATCTCAAACCGTATGTAATAGTTATATATGATTATTGTAGTTTTTAAATTTTTCTAATGTAAGTTTGTGATTAATTTTAGACTAGAAGCATTATTACATGGTCCTCTTAGTGATGTTAGTAGAATGATTGGAAATGATAGAGATCCTCAAACGCTTATTAAATTTATTTCTATCATGAAAAAGTAAGTAATTCTATGATGAAAGGTAAGTGATATAAGAAGATGCTATATGTCAAATTATTCATTTAATAATAGTACTAACATAATTAAATTTATAGGGAATTAATTCAAAGCTTTAACAAGTGTAAACACTTACGCACGACTGTAAAAAGACTCAGAGAAGAGCTTAATACAGTTAATGCAAAATTAAATAGTTTATTAGAAGAACAATCTAAACAAATGTAAGAACTTTAATTGAAATGATTAATTTTTGTTATTGGTTTCATTATAATTGTTATTACTATTATTTTAGAGATTCGGAAGGGCAGCTGGAATTTTCAAATAATAAAAATATTACTATACAAGATACAGATAATGAATTAGAAGAAATACATCAAATTGATGATAAATCTCCTAATGTGTCAGAGGTACAAAAAATAGAGAATAAGAATATTCCTAAGAAACCAGTAGATGTCAAGATAAGAAGGGATAAGAGTAATAAAGAGACATTAGAGAAAAATATCGCGCCAGTTAAACGGAAAACAGCCAAGGTATGTAAATAAATTAAGATTAATAATATAAATGATAAGAAGCCATTAAAAAAAGAAATATTTATTTTATTTTTAGACATCCATATCCGCGAGTAAAGGCGAAAATAAAGCCAAACATAAAGAACAAAATTCAGAAGTAAATAGTAATTCGGACACAGATACAACCAATAATTCCTCCAAAGATTCTCCAGTAGTCCATAAGAAATTCAGATTATCAGATGATAATATAAATACTTCAGATAAAAGTACTAATCAATCAAGCAGTTCTATATCAAAAAAGAAGAGAAATCATTCTACAAAAATAAAATTATCTGATACTGAAGATGAAGATAATAATTCTGTGATTGATCTAACTTGAAAAATTCCTATACTGTATTCATTTTTCTGTTTTATAAATACTCGCCTATCTATTTTTAGAAATACATGTCGTATTTTGTCATTGTAATGTATGGTTCTACATTTTATCAGCAAATGAAGTGATCTCCTTCCATATACTGCAACAATTAATGTTTATCTTTTTCCTATGACAGGAAAGGCACTTGCAACGGATCTCGTCTCGTTATTTTGCAATACATATGTTTGAATACTAAATTTTTCTTTAGTAAAGGAAACATTACATCTTTTATTTGGTCTCGTAAAAAAACAAAGCGTATACAATGCTATTTCTAATTCTGGTGTTGTACCAATGAATATAGTCGACATTTTACGTTTCTTATTATAAGTAAAATATGTTTCTAAAATAGCCATTTGCTGAAAATATTTGATAATTATTCTTTTACATTATATACCGTGATTATATTGTTATATATTGTTACCTTATGTATACACGTTTACTTACATCAACGAATTCCATATTACGAGAAAACCCAAAATAATTGATCGCGTTTAACGATTCGCCAGAGGAAAAAGAAATCCAGTTATGAAGTCCTGTAATACCTTTACGCGGTTTTCTTTCTCCTATAAATACATGTTCAAAACCAGAACTACCATTTATTCCCTTACTTCGTGAATATAAATGAAACCAAATTTCTTTCAATGTATTCTTATAAGTTTCTAAATCATTTTTAAAAAAGCCTTTGAGTGATAAAAAATTCATAACATGTAATATTACGTCTGCTTTTATTAAATTACTAATGAATTCATTTTCTTCTAGCTCTTTTTCTTTTGTTATAATTTCTGGCTTGTAAGTATCTAATTCATAATTATCAAGTAACTTCATAAAAGATTTTGTTGTTACTGTCCAAGGAATTCTAGGTGATATGTATAACAACCTAAATTTACATAATTACAATTAGAATAGAAGAACGTAATGAAAAATGTTTTTAAAAGTACCTTTCAGGAGCAACATCAGTAAAATTTTTTGAATTTGTCTGCCCTTGGTATTTAATAGTCAGGTGTTTGAACAATTCATAAGAAGACTTATTAAATAGCTCTTCTGACAAGTTCACTAATTCTATATCTCTTATTAGTGATATGTTTTGAGGAGTACTCGTCTCTATAAAATTAATAAATAAATTTAATACATAATTTGACTACCATATGTACAGACTTATATTTTTTGTTTGTAATTAACCCCTATTTGAAAAGTCGGAGAAATGTATAAAAAAATTGTACCTAAAATAACTAAAACATTGAGCGAAACGCAAATAATTTTATTTAACATTTTTCGATATTACAATCTTTTAATACATGTATTATTGAGCGAGCGAAGCTTTTATACTTGATTTCGCAACTTCTTCCTTTATGGACTAAAAAATTGGCGTCTATCTAGCGGCGAAACGGGTGAACTAAACCTAAAACATGAGGGTCCGAACACGCATATAAGGAAAATAAAAAAATGAATATTTCGGCACTTTGACGACGTAGTATGGTTCCTGAGGCATTTAGAAACAAATTTCTATTAGGGTTTGATGCGTTTTGATGCCTAATAAAGCCAGAAAATCAATTTTTGTAGAATTCGGTCCAAAACGGTACAGGTGGCGCCATCTAGCGGCGAGCGGCGGAACTACGAAAAACTAAAATTTCGATTTTCTCCGAAATTAGGCAATTCTACGTATTTCTGAGGGTCAGAAATCGTTCTGTGGCCTCTCTAGAACCTATATAATGCCACAAGAACCTCCTCAGAGCGCTAGAAAAGAAAATAAAAATATAGGTCAAAACATGGACTAAAAAATTGGCGTCCATCTAGCGGT